TCATTGTCTCAGTCTTAGCTTTATCATGTGCAAAAACATACCACAGCATCATATAAAAGAAGCAAGTAAGTTTGAATTAATAGACATATGTATTTAAGGTCGACTTTGAGCCAAAAGGAAACATGAAATTTGGTATTTTATACATAGAAAATTCCATTGCAGGAAAAATATCATCATGAGCTAGTTACGGCACTGCTCTCTCATATTGACCGTAATAATATTATTGTTACAATCTGTGAATAATCAGGAAGATTCGCAAATATTCTAGTTGCTCTAGAGTCTCCAAGTTAGGAAAAAGTCCTGTAAATAATAAAGAGGCGTGAAGAAAAACCGAGATATTAAAAAAAAATGTATAGGATTTCTTTCTAGGTATGTACAGAGTGTCTCATTTTGGTTGTACACTTGGCAATCATAAAACTGGTACATGCATTTTCCTACTGTGTTGTATTGTGTAAATCGTCCTTTTTTTTCACCTCATAAAGGACGAAAAAAATCGAGGCAGTGTCATCTTTAAATCAAACAAAAGGCCGCCACAAGGTGCAAATACATTTGACATTCGACATTAACAAAAACTGCCTGACCTAAAGTTTTTCAGAAGAAACTTTTTGTTGTTAAGCCAGACTTGCGTTAGGCAAATTCAAAAAGAACCTTTCGCCTGTCCCAGATTTATGATTGGTCAAGTGTACATAACGGATAATAACTTGGTTTTAATTGGAGTTAGAAGGATGCTGTTTTCGCAAACGTTTGCTACTTTTTGGTCAAATGCAACAATTGTCAACAGAATTGTCGCATCGCCCTTTCTGTTTTTCAGATACAAGGTGTGGTATTTTGGGATACCTCTTGTATCTCTGCTAAGGTGACAACAGCTTCTAATTGATCTTTTCACGTAAATTCCAGTAGCGTAGTCATTTTTTTTCTAGAAGTGATAGTTTTTAAATTAAAAACCAAGCATACATTTTTCCAAATGAAACACCCTGTATATTAATAACTCATTGCATAGCTCTGCTTTTGTTGATTTCAATCATACAACGCTCGATAGGTTTATCTCCAACAGATTTTGAGGATAAAATTGAAATCCGTTTTTGTCAGAAAAACCATATTGTGTTGGAAAAATACTTTATATCTATAAAGAAAATCAGAAAGGTCTCTTTCTAGCGCATTGATTCTTATGACAAAAACAGGTATAATTTTTTCTTCACAAAGTATTTTGTTTCTATTCCAAGCTATTGAATTTTCTCTATTTATTTATTTATTTATTTACGGCAAGTCCAATTTCCAATAACAATAATAAAAAACAATTTACAATAAATAGTTTTACAACATACCTGAACCTAAGCACATAACAAATAACATCCTGATGAATTCACTAATTTAATAACTATTCAGTTGCTGTGAATTCCAAAAAACAGAAACAACTATTTTAAGAACGATCCAGCAAGCAATGGTAGCAATCTCCTTTTGAAGGCAAGAACAGAAGGACAACCAAACAAGTTGAGTTGGCAAACCTAAGCACCCTTGCGATCGACTCCTTCATAGCATAATTAGTATTATGGAATGGTACATAAAACATGTCAGAACCTCTCACCCTTCTTCCTCCTGCTCTTAAAGAAACAAGACCTAAAAGGTCTGAACAGTCAATTAACCATCTCAAAAGTTTGTACCGGAAAGAAAGATCTGCCTGAAGTCTCATGCTTTGCAAGGTATGAACACTCAAGAAAGCCCTCATCCCGTCATAAGTATACTCATCATGAGGCAAGCCCAACCTGTAAGCAGTCACCCTTAGAAATATATTCTGAACCCTTTCCAGAGCTGCAATGTGAACAGCATATTGGGGTGACCAAACAACCGATGAGTATTCCAACATGGATCGCACTATCGCACAGTACAATATTCGCAATGTACTCATAGACATATCAGTACCTGGACCTACACATATGGAAGCCCCTCTCCATGCTGTTCATGATACAAAACCGAAGGATAACGCGCACCTAACATGGGATTTTTGTGCTCTATGGATTTTGCCAATTTTTTGATATGTTGTAAAGGATTTAATTCTCAACAGTGTTTAAATAGGACGAAATCTTGTAGGTGTGGAAGTTCAGCTTTTTGAAACCAATATTTAAAAGTGGGTCAAGAGGTCACAGATTACAGGGCTGTTTCACGCAGTCTAAAATTCCTAAGTTGCTGGATTGTCTCATTACCAGGGGACATAGCTGGGAGTGAAGGTACCTTTTAAATCCGGAACAGCATAGATTTACGGTGGGTAGGTCGGTAGGTCGACATCTACAAAGGATAACGCACACCTAACATGAGATTTTTGGGCTCTATGGATTTTGTCCATTTTTTTGATATGTTGTAGCGGATCTAATTCTTAACAACTTTTAAATGGGACGAAATCTTGTAGGTATTACAGTCTTTGAGATATGAGCGTTGAAAAATGAACTTTTTTGCGACTTTTTGGAAAGTATACGAAATACTGGTGCTACTGGTGTTTATCAGTCAAAATATTGCCATGTTCACATATTTTACGTCACGTAACAAATTAATGTCAAGAAAGGCTAAGGCCGGGATCGCACTGGGGTCAATGTTGGCGCCAGTGCGGTCTCGGCGTTAGCCTATGTTGACATTTGTTAGTGACGTAAAATATGTGAACCTGTCAATATTTTGACTGATAAACACCAGTATTTCGTATACTCTCCACACAAAAAGTCGCAAAAAAGTTCATCCTTCAACGCTCATATCTTAAAGACTGTAATACCTACAAGATTTCGTCCCATTTAAAAGTTGTTAAGAATTAAATCCGCTAAAAAATATTTAAAAAATGGGCAAAATCCATAGAGCCACAAAATCTCATGTTAGGTGTGCGTTATCCTTTGTAGATGTCATAACCTACCCACCGTAAATCAATGCTGTTCCGGATTCAAAACGTACCTACAGTCCCAGCTACGTCCCCTGGTAATGGGACAAGCCAGCAACTTAGGAATCTCAGACTGCTTGCATACAGCCCTGTAATCTGTGACCTCTTGACCCACTTTTAAATATTGATTTCAAAAAGCTGAACTTCCACAAAACCGGGTAAGAACCTGTCGACAATGAATGGTTGAAGAGATTTGCCAGGGGCGTCGCAAGGGTGTACAGGCATTTCTTTCTAAGGAGCGAGGGAAGATTCAGAGAAATTTACAATAAAACAAAAGCTTTAGAGACAGGAATAGACAAAAAATGAGACGGAAAAATTGAAAAATATTTTTTTTTTCAGATTTTGACAGTCCATACATTATTTTCTTTTGTGAAACAATAATCCAATAAATTCAAAAACCAAATTCAATTAAAAATTAATTTATTTGGAAAAAAGTTGCATATTTTGTGTAGATAACTGACCCAGCGTTTGAAATAAATAAGGAAATTAGCATTTATTATGTTGAATATGATGAAGAATAAAAGAATGATAAAAATTATAAGTAAACAGCGGTAGGGAAAAAGTTAGGTCAAACGACGCTTTAGTGCAAATATTTGATTTTGGTACAATTCACATAACTGCGCAAAATTGTACTATACGAACATTTGACAACACCGTCATTTACTATGTAATACCGTAACAACGAAAAAGCCGTTTCCACGCGCGTTTGAATTTTTTATATTTAATTTGAATTGCTATATTTTTTTTACCCACAGCATTCGGAAACAAATATAATACAAAATGTGCCAGTAGTCAGTAGACCTTCTAAGGCCCAGTTTTCGACTTATTCATCTTCAGATAATCTTGCTGGTAACTATCCGCAAGATAAATTTAACGTTCTATAATTCTATTGGTCGGCGGATAACTGGCCGACCAATGAGATTACAGATTGCGTTATTATCCGTCATATTGCATATCTAACAGTTTATCAGAAAACGAATAAACCGGCCCTGACTCCAATAACAATCAAGTTATCCGTTATGTACCATGAAAATGGGACACCCTGGAACTCAGGATAACCGTGAAAGTATCGTCATTGAATGCAGGGTATTTAAGCATGGCTGCTTAAATTTAAAATTCGAATTTGATATTTTCAAGTAGGGGTATAGTTTCAGCTGCACAGGGTAATCCCAAAACGATGTGCCCCTGTTAAATAATATGATATGTTTGGTCGATATAAAAATAAATGCTGATCAATAAGATTCTCTAGTTGGCGCTAGGAAATTTACTGCCTGTCGACGAGGCAATGATTTTAAATGCAATTGTTACAATTGTGCATATTAAGCCCTATTAAATTAATTTTTTAGCGTGTCAACATATTATATTATAACGCGTTAGAATTTCGTGATAAAATATTTTTATCAGTAGAGCTATGTTATAATTTAAATGAAAAAAAAAATGTTTTCTGAATACCTATGTCAAAGAAATTTGAATGCAGTGTTGGAAAAGTTAGAGAAGTATTGATTATTACTGTGCAGGTCTGGTCATCTGGCATTGAAAACTACATACTTTATACGTTGATGATAATACAATATAAATATGTACCTATTTTGAAATTTTAAATAATATGGTCTAATATTGCAACAATTTTTAGCTGAGGAAGTTGCCAGAGCATCACACATAAGATTTGCGTTGCTTTTGCCATTCAACTTGACACCATCTTTAATTAACAAAACATACCTACCTATTAATTTTTGCGACTTACATTCAAAGGCAAAAAACTGCATGCTTACTTACTCAAAAGGATAAATTAGTATGGGGATCGAGTAATGAGTTATTCGTTTGGTTTTGATATTGTTAAAATCACGTATGTCGCTACACGCGCGTACGCGCATCATCAGGTATGTTACCTACTACATAACAGCGAGAACGTTTAAATATACTTCATTCACTAATACCCAGCCGTGCTTAAAAAAAGTCGCGTAACTTGCCAAAAGAAAGTAAAACAAACCGGCGTTCTTTGACTTTTGTTTACAAAGTTTTACCTATTGTTTTTATGAACAGCTGTGATTATGAGCAAAACTGACAGAGAATATTATTCCAGGGTTCCTAGCACTCATAGGCCTTATACCAACGCTCCATCATCAAATTGGTCCTCATATTTACCATGGAACCATCAACGAAAATGGGTAAGTTGTTTTATATTTTATTTTTACCGCCAAGAAAAGTTTTTTTTTTCTTCAAATTTGATCAAAATCATTACCTTCTCATCTCAAGCCATAAATAAATTTGTGAACGTGCATTTTTGCACACTAGTTTTGACTAATTATTGCAAGTTCAGTTATTATTCACGTCCGTCAAATATATTTATTTTTAAATTGTTTGAAATAACTATATTAGTTTTGGTTCAAAATATTTTTGTTTCTGAAAGATTTACAATAATTACTAGTGTAGACATCTAATGGTAAACACTTAAAGATTATATTTACGTTTGCATCATTAATTCAGTTATAAAATGAACCATAAAATATTAAGAGTTTCTGAATAATGAAAGACACTCTTCTAGAAAATTCGTCCCAGCTGCTATGGCGCGGACAAACCGCAGTCTGTGCTTGGGAGCTTTTAAAATATTACGTTAGGGTTAGAGGAATAATACAGAGTATAATAAGTATAATACGGTATTGTTTTATTCGTTTGTGGCTGAGCTTTGTGGTTTCAAGCTAAGTTACCGCAATTCTGATGGATGGAGCTGCTATACGCTTATAGACAGAGATCTATTTGTTCCAATGAATCATTACCGGTTTCTGTTTTATTGTAGAATCCGGTCGATGATTATTTATTTTTCGTGTTGGTCAATAGATTGGCGCAGGTCCTCTTGTTTCAAAAGAGCTTCCTCTGAATCTTAGATGCAGACTTTTTTTTTTAATTTCAGTTTTTAATCTTGCAAGGCCAGAAATGCCTCGACCTGGCTACTGTGTTATTTCCCTCCCATCTAAAAGAAAACATAAAAGTTTTAATCTATAACGAATTCTAAATTATTCTGTGAGTTAGCTAGAATTTCTTTCAAAAATATTCATAGTGAATCATTCTCCGCAATGAGGTAAATTTAAGAAAATCTACCTTTAAATGCACACAGATATAATATTTAGAGTACACTAATAATATAGGTGCTTTTTTGCTTGATTAGGATCAGAAAAATGCTGCAAAAGAATCATCACAAATTTAGCATGAATTATCAAATTATTAGCTATAATAGATACCTACCTACCTATATAAAATTAAATAAAAAGTAAGAAGACTTAAACAATCAATTCATAACACAGTGGTGCATGAATAGGGGACATTATACCCACTTGCCTTAATGCCTTAGGTAAACTATTTGAGAACTAATAAACAAAATTTACAAAAATTGACATGTTAAACAAATTTATTTCAAAAACAAAATAAACAAAAGGATCATGGTCATTTGAAATAAAAGATCAATGGCAAAAAAGTAGCAATTACTATTCTATAGCGGAACGAATCTTCCACGGAAATAATTACTTACACCTGATTGTAGTAGGGATTGATAATTATGTAAAATTATTTTTTTTAAAAGTGTCAGGAAACATTTTATTGTTTTTTTTTTTAACTTAGAAATAACTTAAAACGATTAAGATATATTCATTGCATCTTAATCTGATTCAATTTATTAGTTATTATAATATTTGTTTTACCCAATTAGACAATTTTGTTAATTTCAAATTGTTGTCTGTCATGAAAATATTGTTACTATTTAGCAAAGATTCAAATTTGTTTTACATCCAGATTATGATTATTCCTGCCCGAATTCAATTAAAATATACCTATCTAATGTCATATCGGTTTCATAAATATGCAGTTTATATTGTAGTTTTGTCGATAGGAATTGCAAATTTTATGAACGCGTAACCGAAGGTCAACGAAATGCAGTATTTTTCCACTACTTAGTTTAAATTAGGTGAGAAGTGGTAATATTATAATAATAGGTTTATGTTTTTTTTTTCAATTTCAATAAACCTATAAGTAAAGTTTGTTTTCCTCTTAAATTGTTTTTCTTCACCTATTGGATTTCAATAATAATGGGGAGTTTCACTATATTTAAATTTCATTGCTTTATTATTTTCAATCAGTTGTATGAACCAAATTAAAAATACCCGTAGTTTCAATTGGCTTTAAAATATCCTATTTTTTTAATAAATAATTTTAAAAAAATATAGTTTTCATACCACATATTCAAACGTACTGGAGTGGCGCCAATGTATGACGTAGAAGTCTACCGACCAATAAGAATCGCTCACAATGGCTATGACGCACATCTGTCTAGTCTAACATAACCTAATTTTATGTTGACTTTGGGAGTACGTTTGATTGTTTTGGTTTTTATTTTCGTTCTCAAAAAGATTAACAATATGGCTTTGTTATACAGGGTTTCCTTAGATGAACTGACACATTTTGCAGATAAATATCTTTAAAACGAGAGGAGATAACAAGATGCAGTTTGTTCTGGGAGAATAACGATTTTTTAGAGTTTTTTTTCACAGTACCTATTTCCGACTCCTAAAATTTGATCAAATTTGGTTTACCGGACATGCGATTTTTTGAAATAAAAATACTGCCTTATTGTTGATGAAACACCCTATGGCCTGTATATTTTGTCATCGTCAGCAAGCCTGATTTTTCTACTTTTCAAAAATGTATACAGTGTGATTTTTTAAGTGTGCAACATATGGGGATTTTTTTTTGTAATAGCACAACCCAAATACAAACAAGGCCAAAAGTTGGTGCATGTCTGATAATCATATTAGGTGCACTTAGAATGGTTGCAAGTCAAACAGCATACAGGGTAGCTCAAACAATATCAAAGCTGGTACTGTAAAGTACCCTCATTTTAGAAAATTCAGCAAAATGTTATAGAGAAAAGTTGTTTGGAATTAAAAGTTATGCCGAAATACCAAAACATAGCCTCCTAAGATTTTTTTTATTTTCTTTCGAAAAAAATCTATAATTTCTATATTTTTTTTATTTTTTATTTCCGCTCTTGAGACTTTAAAAAATTTATTAAAATCAAATCAATTTTACATAATTTTGTTCAAATTCAAGCATATTTGTAAAATTAACTTAGATTTTTAATTTTTTATGGAATCACAAAATTCATGTTTGTTGCAATGATATTCAACACAACTTTAAAATGTCGCAATTTTTACTAATGATAATAGCCATATTAAAAAAACTGTCCTTAAAGTGCAAAAGATTTATTTTATTTAAGTAAATATTAGTAGAATTTTGATATTTTTTGAGCCACCCTGTATGCTGTTTGACTTGCAAACATTCTAAGTGCACCTAATACGATTATCAGACATGCACCAACTTTTGGCCTTGTTCGTATTTTGATTGTGCTATTACTAAAAAAAAAATCCCATATGTTGCACACTTAAGTAATGACACTGATAGGGTGGTTAAAAAAAAAAGGAATTTTGTTCTTGAGCTGTAACTTTTTTTTTGTTGACCAACTTCCTTTTGTTTTGGCTTGTTTGAAAGAGAATTGAACAAGCTCACGAATCAAAGTAAAACTTTTGAAATTTGAGAAAAATTCAAAATGCACGCTTCTACGATTTAAGTGAGAAAAAAATCCATAATTAAAAATCCATTTCTGAAAAAAATCATATGTCTGTAAAACCAAATTTCAGCAAATTTTAGTTGGCAATACTGTGCAAAAAAAAAACTTAAAAAAAATCTTATTCTCCCAGAAATAAACCGCATCTCGTTATCTTTTTTCGTTTTCGAGATATTTACCTGCCAAATGTTAAGTATCTAAAGGCAATCTTGAAAATCAACAATGGCAATGACAATATTACAACGTTACAATATTTACTAATTTGTAGTATATTATTGCTTGTTGTAGCGAATGACGTAATATTTGACGTGTGTTTCGGCGTTTGAAATGCTGCCTTAAACGTAGGAATTTATATTTTTTAAAAAAAAATTAACGACAACTCAAATGTCCCAAAATAAAACTTCTGGCTCTTTCAAATGTAACTTTTATATTTTTTTCTCATTAGCATAAATATGATAACGTCTCATAAGAGAACGATTTGCTCACCCTTAATCAATATGAAGCTGACCTTAAGCATTCATTTTGCGACACTAATTAACAATAGAAATCCATTGCTTTTTATTTTTAGCCTATATAGATTTATGATCTAGTTAATGAACGGAAGCTTTTTATCAAGGTCCGTTCCAAGATTGCAAAATTATAATTGCAGCTTTTTTGTGTGTCGGTACTCATTCCTAATAGGAACAGTGTCGAATCAGCCACATGTCAGTAACATTGATGAGGCCTTGTCATACAGGGCGTTTTAGAAACTATGTTGCAAAGTTCCATTCAAAATGCATCGTTTTGATGTTAAGACTAGTTTGCAGGTAGACTTGCGGATTGGCAAAAGCGAATAATGATTGACTCGTTTTTATCTGGCAATAAATATTCATCTAGCCCTCTATTCTGAATTCCATTTTTTACGCCTTTGTGGGTCCTCCTAGTTTACTTCTTTCTTTTGAGCTCCGCTCTATGGTTCGTTTTGGTTCTCTGTCGTTTCCCATTGGTTGTATCCTACATGTTGTAACATACCAGTTGATGGTTCATGACTTTCTCCTCCAAACGGAATTTTCCTGCTGCTCGCCTACTACAGAAATCCATTTCGGTAAAGCATAACACTTTTTCGGTTTTCTCTTTAATCAGCAACTCTTCTGAACCATTCACAATTGTATATGACCTTTGTATTGCTTTTCCATATTATGTTTTGTTCCCAGAGTATTCCATTTAATATGGATACTGCTCTTCTTCCTGCTTATCTGATCTTTTTTGGCCTATGACTTTTTCGTTCTTCCGATTTACATACGCTTTAAGCCCAAAAAGTGTCAGCGATATAGGGAAGCTGATAGTTTTGATCGCATTGGGGTTATCTTCTCGAAACTCTGCTCGTTATTGTCTAGTTTTCTAAACTGTTGATCCGATTCAGAATCTCTTATTTAAGATATAAATACATCTAAAGGTTTCTTTCATCCATGTTGTCATATAGCTTCCCCATTCTCCATGCTTTTTTGACCTCCTATCCGATGAGCGTTTTCGTAATCATGTTCGCTCTGATTTATTTTTTCTGGCAAGTATGTGTTCTCTTATCCACCATTTCTCTCTCAATCTCTTAATCCCACCGTATAGTTGATTTCATCATCATAGGCGATCACTTGATACCGAGTATAATTATCTTTTATTCTATTCTTATTGTCGTCGATTGTGCGTTTTCTGATGGCTATATAAAACAATTCTGAAGCCGCACACTCTTCCACAGTCTTGGCACACCCAGCCTCTGGCAGCATTGTCTCTTCCTCTGTTCTCTCGCTCCTTCCTGCGGTCCTTCTTTTTGATCTCGTGTCTACGTCGCTGTTGTCCAAAAGTTTGTGCTCCGCCGTGGACTACTCGACGCATCATTTGCCGTCGTCTCCCAGTTGCTGGTATCGATGCGGCACTCGACATATCATATTCTTCCTAAGAACATCCTTGTAGCGTTTTTGTTGACCTCCCTGATTTAGATTTCCCTCTTTCAGTTCACTGTAGAGAATTTGTCGAAGAGTTGTTTCGGGCATGCGGACAAAGTGGACTGTCCAATGAAGTTGATGCTTAGTGTCGATGAGGGCTTCCATGCTAGTTGTTTTCGCTTCCTCTAAAACACTAATGTTCGTTCGTCTTTCCTAACATTTATTCCGTAGGATCCTTCTCAGGCAGCACTGATGGTATTTTTCTAGGCTTTTTATGTGTCCATGTTTCGCAGCCCTATGTAAGCGTTGGTACTACGACTGCATTGTAGACGCGAAGTTTGGTCTAAGCGTAGATGTGATTGTTGAAGACTCTCTCTAGAAGTTGCTCGAATGCCGCGCTAGCATACTTCAAGTGATGTTGGATTTCAGCGTCAATAGTTGCATTCGCTAACAAATAGCTCTCAAGGCATAGGTAGTGTTCTATGTTTTGCAAAGAATGGTCATTTTTAGTTATATTTGGGGCTTGGGGATTCCGCTGCGGATTGGTGCAGAATTTGCGTCTTGTTGAAGTTGATGATCTCTAGGCCGATTCTCCTGTATGCCTGGTTGAATGCCTTGATAATTGCCTGAAGATCTTCCTCTGTATGGGCCATCACGACGTTAGCATCCGCATATTGAAGTATGTACAATTATCGATGTCGTCGATACTTTCGTCTTGGCTCGTAATGTGTTTACCTTGAATAAGCTGCCATCAAAGTCTATACCGGATATCCACTCCTGTCGGCATGTGACCCTGGATAAGGTGAAATTTGGATTCTATAAATAGAGAAAATAAAGTGGGTGCAATATCACAGCCCTGTTCAACGCCTGCAGTTATTTGGAAAGAATCTCCTTTTCCATCGTTGCTTAGGATGTTTGCATTCATATTATCATGCAGCAGGCGAAGTATCTGGATGTACTTTTGCGGACACCCAACCTTTGCCATAAACTTCCAAAAGCTTCTCTGTTGACTGAATCAAATGCTCTCACTAATTCTATGAAGGCCATGTATAGAGGGCTAATTTGTTCTCTGGATTTCCCTTGCATTTGTCTGGCACTGAAAATAATGTCAGCTTTACTGTATCTCGGTTGGTTCTAAGGCCACACTGTGTCTCTGGAAGGTTCTGTTCGGCAGTTGAATTAGACGATTTGATAATATCCTGGCAAGTTTCTTTCCCGCAACAGAAATTAAATATATCCCTCTATAGTTTCCACATTGAGCCTTGTCTCCCTTTTTAAAAAAAGGCCACGACGGAGGCATCTATAAGTTTGGTAGGTATGGTCTCAGTTATCCATATTTTATTTAATAGGATACTTATTTAAAGAATTCATTGTTCATCTAGCTGTTCCATGGCAATGTTTGAAGTTCTCCGTTCAGTCTGCTTTGGTATAAGTGCTTCCGGCTCTCGTGCTCTTTGGTTAATCTTTTCTCCCATGCTGCTTTCTTTGTCTTGGTTGTTGGTGTTTGGAAAATTGTGGTCCAGTTGTACTGGAGGAACCGTTTTGGATTGTAAACGTCTGACTGTTCGGAAAGTATTATGAACCTGTTTCCATTATCGTGGGCAACGTTTATTCACCTTTCGATTTGTTCTACTCTTCATTTCAATCAGGTCCTATTCAATTTCGGTATTGCGCAATTGTTACGTGTATGTACTTTTTTATATATTGTATAGGTAATTATATAAAGATTGAAAAAAAAGTTTGAAACTGTAATTGTCAATTCTTAGAAAAATAATAGAATTGGGGTATATAGTGGTAACTGGTGCAAAATAAATATAACCTCTCCACATTCCAGATTCACTTTGCGAATACGTTTATTTATGACGTCAATTTTTATCTTGTTCACGAGGCCGGCAGTGATTCCGGATTCAATGTATATTTTCTTTGACCCTCCAGGTCACATTATTATCAACCATTTATTGTTTATAGAATGGACAACATCAAAAGCTGGCCTCCCAGGATACTCCGTGTATTTCTGCGAGTACAACAGCCACGAATCTATCAACTCTTGGCGATTTTCAATCCACTTCCACTATCTACAACAATCCGGCTCGCAGAATGAACTTGGAAGAAAATCTAAGAATGACTATACCTGAAATCCTTCCTCTGCAAGATCAGAAGGAGAAGGATGAACTTGCGCCTCCAGAATTGCCTGAACAGAATAAGCAGAAGAAAGTGCCGATGGGACAGATTAAAACGCAGGTAAAAATTTTTGTTCCAACATTTGTAATTTGAAAATTTGATTTTATTCGTACTCCAAAATAACAGTTCAACACAGATCCATTTTTCGGCACGCACTGCTTTTTTTTATTAATAAAAATATTACATTAATTCACCATTGCATAGGCGAAATGTTAAAATTATTATGCACGATAGAAAAAATAACTTAAGTATCTCTTTTCAAGTGACTGTGTACAATCAATTCGAAGTAACCACCTTTTGCGACTAATAAATGCTTATCCAATCATAAATTATTTACTGTTACAAGAATTTATTGTTGTTTGGAAGAAAAAGTTATTTCGCTTTTTGGGTTATCTGTTTTTATTATGTCTTTCAAACCTAAATCAATGTTTTTTTAGCTAGGGAAAAATAATATTCGCATCCAAATACTTTTTTTGGAATTATTACCTTTATAGGTACCTGTCATATTTCGATTAAATTTTTGGAAAATGTTTGAAGCATTTAATTACTCAACTTAAGCATGCATTATTTTCATAACAATATTTTCTGTTTTGATTTGATTGGATTATATACACTTCCTTCAAGTGTAGGTGCCATTGGCTCGGATCCATCGTGCTTATGTTATTCAACTCTTCATAAATTTCATCTTCTTTTTGAATTCCTTCATAATGATCCATATCAGTGTTTACTACATTGGTTGAAGGATTGTCAATAATCTCAAATTCATTGATAATGTCATCGTAGCCCTCAAACATGTCTTCATTGACTATTATGTGTTATCTTCTGATGTTATCTCTTAAAGCTCTTTTGAAGCTATCATAGATTCACCCATTTCATCTGATGAGTCATTTTCTTTCTTAAATATCCTAACAAATAATAGTTTGATAAGAGAATCTATGGATGGTTATGGAGGTATATCTGAAGCATTTTCAGCATTACCCAATCGTTCTCGAAATTGTTTATTTATTGAAGATCTACTTGAAGCACCAGAAGGAGATTTATCCCTCCAAGAGAATGAAATGTTTGGTAATACAAAACCCGGGTTTTGTTTCAGTATTTATATTATCTACAGATTCGGCTTTGAGCAATTGAGTTTCGATTTTTCCCAAAATTGCATAAATTGAGTCGCAACGTCAGTGAGGGAGTACTGCTGCTATGTTGATAGTTTTTACTTCATTAAATTTTGTTGAACTTTCAACACTAACATGCATGAGTTTGTCAATCATTTTGGTTTCTTCACTAATGTGTTTCTCGATAACATCATCTTGAGCATCTCTTCTATGAGATGACGGCAGCATACTGAACACTTTTAGTCATTGAATTTCTAAAAGTGGATTTTTTTCAAAAAATTTGCATTGCTTCACAAACTGAGGTTCCATGAGGTGCATAAGAGAAGTCCAGCTCATGTGGCAGTAGCGTTCAGATAATATAGTTTGATCTTGACCACGAATATCTCTAAAAAAGTATAAAATGTAGGTACCTACTTGATGCCTGAGCTCACTATGGCATCCCAGACGACAACTTTGGGTGGATGTAATGGCGCCTCATGGAGACTCTGCGGATTGTGTTCTGACTCTCTTTACTACTAGAAAAAGATGAACTGACTTCACAAAATTGACTAATTACTTATCGCTTTTGTTCAAATTCTGCTTTTTGAAAACTTCCTGCAACTTACAAACTGTGCGCTCTACATATGAAACCATGCAACCAAGAAGTCTTAATTAACTTCAATCCTTAATTATTCCATGCATACAATGGAAACAAAGTAACGAATTCCTGGATGTTCTCGCACAGTGGTATTGGCTTTCTCGCACCAAATATAATTTCGTGACGGTATTCTGAATAACTATCAAACATTTACCAAAAACGTATGTAAAATGTAAAAAGAAACAACAAACAAGAAAATTATAATTTGTTGCGAAAATAAATTATCGCTTATGAGCATATTTAAAGTAAACACACTCATTTCGATAAAGCATGACATAGATATTGTTTTTTGTATTTTTATATTTCACCTATGTATTGTATATCGAAGTTGTCTTAAATACTTATTTATATTGACCACTAGTTCTAGTTCTACTTAATAAATTATTGTGCGTTTTCCGATCCTGATAAAATCGAAGGTTTGTGCTTATTTACCAAAGGTCAAGTTGGTTTCATTAAACTATTTTGCCGCACGTTTCAAATAAACATCGCATTTTCATCTTTTTCAACTGTTCTGTTTGAAAAATTGGCTTTTGCTGTATTATATAATCAATTCAATTGGGCCCGATTTAATTGAGACATAACGAACTTTTATGTACATAAATTATTTGCGTCAGAACGAAAAATCGATAATGTTTTTATTTTTGCAGATGCGAGCATGCACGTACTCTCATATATGTAAATATTTTTTATTTCTGGATTTGCCAATTTCCATTATTCTTGCATAGGATTATGTGATAAATATCAGTTTGCATGTTTTTCTTAGATAGGTAGGAATTATTTTCAAAATTATGTAGGTACATAATAAGGTTTTGCCATTAAAAAAAAATATATTTTTCTATTTTTGGACCAATTATTCAAAGATCGATATTGAATTGTCCTATTCTGGTACCCTATAGCAAATTTTCATCTATGGATTTGTTCATGGTCACATCCGAAGTTTTCAATTATCTGGTAATAATAAAATGCGTCAATACCACAGCCCACACAAGGAAATTCGATGGAAATAAGAATACTTCCTGTGGATATTTTTATTCTACATTCTATGTTAATTGATTAAATCAGTATTAGTCGCGAATTTAACTTGACTTCTGGCTGAGTGTTATTTCTGCGAAACGCGAACCTCATTGTCCAGAATATTAATCAACCAAACGTCGGAAAATATATCAACAAAATAATTAAAGGTTATTTGTTAATGGTGTTATGGACATAAGGATAGGAAATTATAAAGCTATAAGGACAAAACCAAATCGTGTAACGAATATTTAATAAAAAATTAAGATTTCAATTAGAGGGGGCACGTGATATATGTTATAAAACTGGTGCTCGCAATAATATAATCGGTTTAATCGATTCTCGCGTCAAATTGTCGGTTCGAACTATAATTCTTTTCATTAAAATACGATCGTGTTGTCTGGAAGTTAGCAACTCAATTAATTATTAACTTAGAGAACAATGCGGGTTCTAGTGCGTGCCGATACTCATGTCACTTTCTCATTACCAGATACAGAGCCTCAACCCAAATGTACTTGGTCTCAGGTGCGGTTATTTATTTGCGACCATTTTCACTAGTAAAAATGTTAATTTTGCAATTTTGTTACAGTTAATTACGGCAATCGCAGTGTCTTGGGTTTCCATGATCATTGGATATTGTTCAGCTTATACTGCACCTGCTTCAATTTCACTGGAAAGAGATTTTCATCTTGATTCTTCAAAGGTAAGATTCAGAATAAATTTACTTAAGATATTTTAACTATATTGGTAAAGGTTATTGAAAATACTCTCATATTCAATTTGCCCAAAATATTGATTGACCAAATTTTTTTCAAATATTTTAGTTTATTTTGCATAAAAATTGAAATAATCATATCTATATAATATGTATATTATGGTATGGTCATCTTTGTTTATATGCGATACATACTCAAACATTGATTGATTATAATTTATTATCATTGAGTCCAGATAAGAAAATTATGTCAAGATTATGTTTGGCCATACGAATTAATTAAATTCGATCTGAATTTATAGTTAGGTAGGTAAGTACTGGTTTTCTTTAATGGCAAAATAAAAAGACCATTCCTACCCAGCCTTTATAATTATACAATTACACAAAATATTTTGATACCCACTTACAGGGTTTATTTGATAAGATAGGAGAAAACCGTGTTTAAGAATATTGAATTTTAGAATATTTATTCACTAGTCCAAAAACCTATATCTTAACCTTTTTTTTCAAATGAAGAACACCTATTTGAGAAGAACCTTCTTTTCTGATTTCGAAAATAAGCTAGATTTACAGTTGCAGTTAAATTTACCTGCGTCTGAATAGGCATGTTTAACAAATAAGTTCAATTTTCAATTTTGAATATTTCAGAAATAACTGATAAAAATGTCATACATTTTTGAAATCAGAAAAAACATGTTTTTTAAATAACGATAAATGATAGATAAAGGTCGTATTGTAGGTATTTGGAAAAAAATAGGTTACGTTCTTAGGCTAGTAATGGAATAATTTAACATTTGATATTCTTGGAAGAATACCTTATGGGTGGGCTCCAAAATACATAAATAAAGGAATCCGCCGTACGTGGAAGGTGGGCCAATTTGGACACTGGGTGGGTATTATAAAACTATTTTGACTGAAAACTAAAAGTTAAATTCTGGAGTCGACGAAATTCCAGTAGTTATCTTTTAGTTTTCTGTCAAAATAGTTTTATAATACCCACCCTTAGTAGGAAACATACATTTCTGAGCGAGTTACAAAATAATGAGCCCCCCACTTTGATGCTCAAATTTCATGAATTCTGCATTTGTATGCAAACCAAAGTTGGATGCCTTAGCCCGTATTTGCCGCTAGAGGGCGTTTCTCGATTTTGAGCAATACTGAGAACGCTTCTTAACTTTTTTGTTTGAGAAAATAATTGGAAAACATATTGTTTGCAAACTAAATTTTATGAATTTAAATTTTTCCATCAATAAACAAAATACCGTTTTATTAGTGATGCAGTATGATACCTTTTAGTCAATTTATCATCAAAAATTCAATAACAACTTTTTTATGAACTTCTTTATTTTTCGGTCCGATAAAGTTAATTATTTTGACGAGTTCCATGCAAGAAAAAAGGAAAACCATGCCAACTTTAACACGCGTTGAGTAAACAGTGCTGTTTATATGTTTTTTATACAAAAGAAAAAACAGGAATTGAAAATTGTATAAAATATTAAAAAATATTTAAACAATAATTGTTATTGAAATTATGTTGCACCAGTTCAACAGTATTAATACTACTAATTTGTTACAAAAGTACATACATACAGGATGTTTGGAAGGTCGATGCAAAGTCTTAGGAACGTGATAGGAGAGGTCATTTAGACTTAATTAAGCCAAACATACCTTAGTACAAAGTCTTACGGTTTTCGAGTTTTCTCGAACGTTTTGGATTTCTTTAAAAAAAGGCTATTTTTCACTTTTTTCTCCTTTTATCTCTAAAATAAAAGATGACAGTTTGATGATATTTTTTTTTGATAGCAGAACGTTTGTCTTTTCTGAAAGTGTAAAGAAAAGAAAACCATACTGACTGCAAAAAAATAATAAATAGATTTTTGGTAATTTTTCTTTATACTGATAAAAAATTCCTTTTTCTGCTGAAGTTTATTAACTTAATCAGCTGTAAACAAGCTGATTTTATTAGTAATACTTTATCAGAAAAATTGATTTTTGATCAGGAGAAAGAAAAATTACCAAACATTAATTTATTATTTTTTTATAGTTCGTTTGGTTCTCTGTTCTTTACATTTTCAGAAGAGACACACGTTCTGCTATTGAAAAAAAATTTATTGTTAAGCTGTCATCTTATATTTTAGAGATAAAAGGAGAAAAAAGTGAAAAATTGCCTTTTTTGAAAGAAATACAAAACGTTCGAAAAACTCGAAAACAGTAAGACTTTGTACTAAGGTATGTTAGGCTTAATTAAGTCTAAATGACCTCCCCTATCACCTTCCCAAGACTTTGCATCGACCTTCCAAACACCCTGTATATTTAAATTTGAGACAAATTTTAATTATTCCCTAATGTTTTCAACCAAATGTTCCTTGTGCTGCTCTGCTGAAAATAAAGTATTTTAAGATCAGCTTCGAAATTAAATATTAGCATTCCATAAGTAAACATCAAATATAGATGTAGGTAACTACCTAGAATGGTCGTAAAAATATCTGATATAGCCGCGTTTGTGCTAACAGCGTTAATTATATGTCTTATGAAGATAATTAAGTCAAACAAACGTGATATTATACCTTTTGATTAGTTTAACAACATCTTAATATCATTGTTGTTCCATTAATGAGTTGTCTGACCGATTTTTTTTCTTTGTTTCAGTTCTCGTGGATCACGAGTTTGATGCCATTGGGAGCTTTGGGAGGCGGCATCCTTGGAGGCGTCTTAATCGAAAATTTAGGCAGAAAATGGACCATTCTGCTTACAGATTTGCTATTTTTTGTAGCATTTCTTGTCAATTATTTTGCACAAGATTACATCTACATGTATGTGAGCAGAGTCATCTCTGGTGCTAGCGTTGGTGTATTATCACTGACTTTACCTGTGTACTTAGCTGAAACCGTACAACCAGAAGTAAGAGGCACCTTGGGCTTGCTTCCAACTGCTTTTGGTAACATCGGTATCCTGCTTTGCTACTTATTTGGTACCTTTTACGAATGGCAAGCCCTCGCTTTGGTGGGAGTTATTTTGTCCATTCCATTTGTGATAGTATTTTGGGTGATAAAAGAAACCCCTAGGTTCCTAATTTCAAGGGGTAAAGAAGAAGAAACCAAAAAAGCTCTGCAATGGCTTCGTGGACCTCAAACAGATATATTCAAAGAATTACATGAGTTAAAGAAGAGTTTCCAAGAAGAGTCTGATAATGATGAAAGTGCTTGCGATAGTCTAAAAGTTCTATTTTCTGTTAATAACTTAAAACTGATGGGCATAGTATTGGGACTCATGGCTTTTCAACAATACAGCGGTATTAATGCAGTTATTTTTTATACCACCAAAATCTTCAAAGAATCCGGATCAACTTTGGATGAAGCTATTTCCACTACAATTGTAGGAGTTGTTAACTTTGTATCAACCTTTATAGCAGCTGCATTAATAGACAAACTTGGCAGAAAAGTTTTACTATACATCTCTGCAGTATCAATGATCATCTCACTTGCCACACTTGGAACTTACTTTTTCCTAAAAGATGTCACAGATGTTGATGTTAAACCTCTGGGATTCTTGCCATTGGCCAGTTTTATTGTCTACGTTTTAGGATTTTCCTTAGGATTCGGGCCAATTCCTTGGTTAATGATGGGAGAGATATTGCCCGCTAAAATTAGAGGAACTGCAGCTTCAGTGGCAACAGGTTTTAACTGGACCTGCACATTTATTGTCACTAAAGTTTTCCCATTACTTATCGATTCAATTGGATTCCACTACACCTTCTGGCTATTTGGCATTATCGTATTCATGTCACTTATTTTCACTATTTTCTTTGTACCCGAAACCAGAGGCCAAAGTTTGGCTGACATAGAAAGAAAACTGGCCGGTATTAAAGTGAGAAGAATGAGTTCCGTAGCTAATTTAAAACCAATGCCATCTAGTTTTTAAGTGATTGACTGATATTATGCTGTAGGGTAGGAGTTTTATTTATGAATCTCATTTCCAATAAATTCAATTTTTTTGGCATTTGTAAAACTAAAATGTATGCTTCGAAATATTTTTTTTCGGAATCGCAATAAAAGAGTCCATTTAATATTTAAGTTTAATATTGTATATAGGTATCTATTATCCAAATATAGTTTTATTTATTGTGAGAATATTTTTATATAATTATTATAAACTATTTTTTACATTATATATGTGAACCTATTTTTCAATAAACATATTTTGTTTTATTCACCTAGTATTGTATGTAACAAAATCTGCCTGGACGACTCTAATTTGGCACAGTGTTCCATCCAGGACATTCAAACAGACACATGGAGCCGCTTTAATATAATTGAGGCTCAATTAGGGAAATACAAAATGTTTTTATTCCTGAACATTGGTTGCAAGTGAGAACGATTGAGAGTGGAACTTGCAGAGCTTTTCCATGATTTAACTAATAAATTAACAAACACCATCATAATAATTGGTTTGCGATTCGAATGATGTCGGCCAATGGGAGATAATTAAATGCAACCCATAGAATATATCTATACTTGAATAAGAAAATGCTCCTTCATACCCTAGGAAAGAAGTTGAAGAACTTGTTGCTAGAGGTGATGATAGTGATAAAAAGAAATTATCGATAGTTTCGATAATCATAGTAGTGAACATCGAAACTATCGATAAATTAAAATAAATGAATTAAAATCCGATTCCTTGAAAATTCCTGATATTGTCCCTAATTAGTCTCACATTTATAAATAATGGCCCCTAAATGTGTTCCTCATTTATTGCGGTCCCCAATTTTTGGTTTTCGAGATGTTGATTAAGATGCTCCATCGAACATCCAGTGAGTTTTCTGTGACCAATATTGGTTGCATCTATCGAAAAAAACATTCAAACACAACCTTGCCTCATCCGCGAAAAAAAGAAAATATGAATTAGGGCAAATTTGGGCTCTCATTCCACAGACAACAAACAAAGTGTAGTTCGTCAATATGAATCATCTTCGCCTAATTCTTGACGTAGATCTGCTTCATAAGACGCGAACGTTTATTTTGCTTAAGTTTTCAAAACTTATGATTGACAAGAGTTATTTTGATTGCCAGTTGATTGACTGGTTAAAGAAATTCATCATTTGTTCTAGTTTTTGATCGTCCCTATCTTAGGCGGCCTTCCAGGAAGTGAGTATTGCTAAAAATTTTAACAAACCTTGCCGACTCCAGAATTATGGGTTCAGAGGTTCAAAAGGTAGAAACAAAAAATTATAGTTTAAAAACAAAAACAAGAGTCTATCTACAGGCAGGTAAAAAACAAACACTCGCTTGCTTGCTCCAAGGTTTTGACAAATTCATTAGATTTTATCCAAGAGACCCATCCGAACTCCAAGATTATAGGTACCTCTTGGGAGATTTTAATGTTCATAACTCAAACGAAGCAACCCATGTTGGAAGGATTGCTGAAGCATTTATCATTTCACATGGCCTAATTGGTAGAAAATCCCACAGGTATTCCCGATTCCGTTTCTCAACAGGCGAACTTACTCGATTTGTTCCTTACCAATAATCCAGTTTCTTACAAGGTCGATGTGTTTGCACCTTTGAATTGATTTCTGCTTGAAGTTCATTATTTCCCTAGCTCCTGCTCCAATAACTCGTAGGGTGTAGCACTACGAAGCTGCAGACTGGAAAGGCCTAAAACTCTTTTTCTCTACCATCACAGTACGAGTTTCTTTCTAAAAGATCAACTACAAGGGGATCTGCTGGCGTACGTCAGTCATATTTGGAAATCGACTCTCGAAAAACATGGCGAATCCCTAATTATAGCATTGGAGGCTTTTGATCAGGTGTGGCACAAAGTTCTCCTTAGCAAACTTCCATCGTATGGTCTTCCCAACGAATTTTGCCATTGGCTGGAGAGCTTTTTCGAAAACAGGTCACTGCATGTTGTGGTCGATGGTGTGTCTTCTGATACACTGCCCTTAAATTCCGGCATTCCCTAAGGCTCAATTCTGTTCCCAACACTGTTTTTCGTTTTCATAAATGATTTATTAAATGTGACAAGAAACCCCATAACCCGAACGCCTAGGGGCGTCGAGTCATATTTTAATCGACATAGGTAAATTGTATTTTTCCTCACTTGACGTTTTTCAAAATTCTACTACACTTAGAGGGTTTTTTTTTTGTCATGTTATTTTGTATCTTGAAATATCTCAAAATCTGCTCGTTTCAACAGATTCATATTTAAAACACTGTTAGCTTAGGTGTTGACTCAATTTAAAAAAACATATATTTCATCGTCAGCAACCCGGGACAAGGAGTGCAACTGAAGGTTGAAAGCATATTTTTTGAAATATCTCAAAATCTGCTCATTTTAACAGATTCATATAGAAACCACTGTTAGCTTATAGGTATTGATTCAATTTTTTAAAAAATATTTTATCCCCAGCAACCCGGGATAAGGGTCGCAACTGAGGGTAGAAAGCATATTTTTTGAAACATCTCAAAATCTACTCGTTCGATCGTCAAAACCGCTTCTCATTTATTTTAGGTGTTCTGTTTCGTTTAAAATGCCTCTTTACTTCTGAACATTTTCTTCTCCTTCATAGGGCTCAATCAGACCATTTGTGAAATACTGTTCCCACATGTGGAGCGATGCACCCAAGCATTCGTTCGCTGTAATATCAACGGGATTGAAAGCAGCGACTTCCCTGGCAGTTTTAATAGGGGCCGAAGATCTTTGAATCTATTTATTGACCCTCCTTCTCATTTAGGATTTTTCAGGGGTTGGTTCTGGTTGCTAGGGGGTTGAGAGTGGGGAGTTGAATTTTGCATAAAAACTCATTCTCCTTCAAATTATAGTTCGGGGATTTTTTTCTGAAATTTATGTTTTTGGTAATAGAATATTGGTGGGACAAATTGACACCCTGTATAATGTGTATGCTTAGTGTTTTGTCATAGAACAGGATAATTAAAACGCTCTCTGTGATGAGCTTGAAACAACTAATAAGATTTGGAATAGATGAGAATGAAATCCCGTAAAATGGTTTCAGGAATTAATTCTGATTCAGGAATGCGAGTACTTACTTGTTCGAGCCGCTTGAAACGATAATAACGATTTTTTTTATGAAATGATTTTGATTTATGAGACACAATTTCGTGAAAGAAAACTAAAAATCGTCCATTATTGTTCTCTTATTCTTCGAATGGTGAAAATTTGAAACAAATATGTAGGTATTATAAACAATTTAATTTCATCAAAAATAAATAATTGAATAGGTATAAAACTTAACCTACGGATTTTGGCACTGCTTGCAGTCAGCCATTTTTTCTTCGAATTCTTCGATTTGCAAAGTCATTTCGAAGAAATTGAATTTATCGTGTATATTTTTGGTAGCTACCATCAGTACGTTTTGTGGATTAGTACCTGCTCCTAAAAAATAAAAATAATTTTACCAATACTATACTACTTAAATATTAAAAATTGTATTGATAAAAGATATTGATGGCATAAAAAATGGTCGCATTATTTTTGTCGGATTCTACAAAATACACAGTTTGCGATATTAGCCAAGCCAAATAATCAGTTGCCGGAAATATTTTGGTATTCGTGTAAATATGAGCTGAACAAAAGTTTTGCAAATTGAGCAATTGCTTCTTCTATAAACAGGGAAACGCCAGAGATATTCCAGCAAACGATCGTCTCGCCGCGGTTGCTCTCTCTTAGGAATGCTTAGAGGAAAATTAACTAAATGTTGTCACATCCATTAAAATTTACAAGAGGAACTACCGTGACAAATTGACAATTGCCAGTTTGATATTGTGGAAAAATCTGTATTTTCCTTGTGTATGTTTTAACATTGTGTCTAGCAATCGCAATCTTTGCTTCGAATTTCGGGTAGTTGGGGCTAGTTTGGATAGTTTGAATGAGTTTGTTATGTGAAACTATAGACGTAACATCGTTGAAATTTAGCTACACTTGCAAGTGTTCACATCTTTGGTCTTGCCAAGAAATAATTGAAAGTTGTAACTAACAACCATAATTACAATAAGAGGAAGTAACAAGTGTCACTCGATAGTGAAAAAATGTGTATTTTTTATTTTTAACATTTTTGACAACCGGCGTTATTATAGGATCATCCGAGTTTGCTAACTGTGTATTTATTTTGGTAAAAGGACGAATTTTGCATCCACCTATGGCAAATAGAATGGGGCTGACATATGATATATTTAGGATGTTTCGACACTTTCGACAAAAATCTTCATAAGTTCGCTATACATATCGAATAACTTACTTATTGCTACGTGAGCCGACATAGCAATTTTATCAAGACTCAAAGCCCAAATTCTCAAGTTATGGACCCTTTCGACGCCTTCGATGTTTATCAAAATATTCATAACTGATTCAAAATCTATTCCTTTCGGTAAAGCTTCCATCAAAACCAATAATGCATCTTTAATTATGGCGAAGGTCGTAAATAGCACAAATATTGAAAATACAAATGTCATTATTGGATCCACAATTACCAAGTTTGGCTAGAAAAATTTAAATAATTATATAAATAGGTAGTAAATGTTTTAAAACAATTTTATAACGCACATACATATTTAGAATTCTACTCAAGCAATTTATTACCTTGTAATAAATCACAATTGCTGCTACTAGAACTCCTGCACTTTGCAAAAAGTCACCAATTACATGAATAAATGCTGCTCTGACATTGATATTTTCTTTATGATGATCATGCGAATGACTGCTTCCGCCATGACTATGGCCATGCTGGTGAAGTGAAGCACCCATGCTAAAAAAATACTTTATTACTTAGGTAGGTCCTAATTTGATCTGAAAATGAAACAGTGCATGACGTACAGTCGTGAGCATTAAAAGTGGGACACCCGACTGACAGTTCTTGTCATTTTTCGCTATTTTTGGTAAATCAGTATTTTCTCTACAATGGATTTTTTTGTCAAATATGACAATCCCTGTCATTGCTGTGGTTGAAGCTGGTGAGCTCGCCACCAGAGAGTCAAGGTTTCCAATAGAAATTCAATATTTTATTTTAATTTGCATTTTGCATTGTAAATATTAAAATTGTCCTGTTCAAAAATTTCGAAGTAGTTGATGTTCTTAACTTTAAGTGTTTTTCTTTCTCTCATTTCAATGAACGTCTAAAGTCAAACAGCCGTATGCAACATCCTCTTTTAACTTGAAAGTGCTTTTTAAAACTGGTCATTTTTAAAAAATTGTATTCTAAGCAATACAAATTTTTAAAAGTGACCAGTTTTGAAAAGCGCTTTTATAGTGGAATAAAATCACTGCTCTAACTCGCTGTTTTCTGAGGGTGGGTGATTCCGAGGTTTAACCAGATGAAACCTATATCATCTTGTAGAGGACACTTTGGGGCATAGGAAATGGGAATGTACAACTTTTTTTAATAGGAATGAACTTTGAAATCGGCACTTAAACGTGACTGAGCTCGAATTTGAAAAACTATGTTTTTCTAAACATTACCCGCTGTATTAATTTAAGCATACAATCTAAAATTCTGATTTTTTGCATACTTTAAACATGAGCGCTTCTAATGACAGTTCAGAAATTTCGAAAAGGCTCAAGGTTTTTTTGTTAAAAAGTTAGGAATATAGAACTATCAAAATCGTGCATCTTAAACTTCACCCTGCGGCGAGCAATGTGTATTATTGAAAATTTCTATACATATATATCGAATCAAATGTAGTAAAAACATTGACGAAGTTTTTAGAAAAATAATTAAGGTGCTAACTTAAACGGTTATAGAAATATACATTTTTATCCAAGAGCCCTAGAGTGCGCTCAGCCCATCGTGAACCGCGTCGCGACGGAATTATTTGTGCATTCACCGAGAGGTGCATTTTCGGACTTTTCCAGTTTTGAGCGTCCGTATGCGAAAAACAGCTAAGTCTGATTTATTATTAAAGTTTGAACCATATTCAACAGTCGCTTCTCTTCGAACTGATGTTAAACAAGGGTGTGACCCGAGAAAATTCTTCATGAAAATAAATTCTGCGGGAACTTGTGACGTCACACCGGCTAACCGCCGAAATCATATCCTTCTGTTTGTTCAGTGGTTGAACCGTGCTCTATACTTTAAGTGGTTGCAATTTGCTTCAAGTGAGATCGTTGACTTTTGCCTTGGAAAATTTTACACATATTTTAACTGTGCCTCCGAAGCCAGTGTGACGTCACAGCCTAGGCGTTTGTCACTTTAAACCACCCTTATACTCGGAAACGATTCATCGTAGCAAGATGCGGTTCAAATATTTGTTCTTAGATTTTTTCACACTAAAACTTCATTTTTGGGTCACAATCCCTTCAATTCACTTATAATAGATAGCATGGTACTTATTCAAGGACTAAATGATAAAGCCTTTTCAACTTAACTTTTAATGAACTCACATGTATTTTTCTGAAGCAAATTCTTTCACTTGGTCGAAGGTATGAAGCATTCAGAATAACGTGGTTTTTATCGGTCTTTCGAAAGACGCAGAAGAAGTAACTTCGCAGAAGTTTCGGAATTTTTTAAAATTGTCAGAAAATGAAGAATCCCTATTGAAATTTGTAACTGGTTATATTTTGGAACATTTAGCTGACAAATAGAAGAAACTTCATCGCTGGTGGTTTTGAAAACCCAGAGTTATGCTTTCCTGTCAACAAGGATGGTGTAACCGAATTGAAAGATTTGAAATCGAATCATGATGAGACTGATGAACGACTCCGAAATCCACGTCTTACATGAATATAGCAGACGAACTCTCTAACTCGATAGAAATAGAGTTAGAAAAATAATAGCAAAGAAAATACATTTCTTTCTATCGACAAATGCTACTCTCTATGACTTTTTCCTGAAATCTTTGAGTAACTTCGTTTATAGAGAAATGCGTACTAACCAATCTGGAAACATTGTGACAGATTTTAGACTTTTTCGATTTTCAATAATATACCGGAGGTTTTGACAGGTTAATTTTTGATTTTCAATGTTATTATTTTCATTTTTTATTCATTTTGTCTTTGCATATTGAGCTCTTTCGGAGGTGTATACCCATTGTAACCATTACACCAGGCTGGATAAAGATTCCAATGACCCAAGCAGAAAACGACGTGATAAAAAGCCAAGATTCACGATGTAAATGCGAATTCTGGGGGTGCCAGCCATGATTCTTTTATATGGAGAAATTTTCTATTATGTTGTCTGTGATATGTACCGTTTGACACTCCCATAGTCCAATTCATAGTTAAATGATTTCTTAATTCCTCCCATTTATGCTTAGTTTCACTGCAAAAATGTATGTCAGTCTTTAATCACAAATCAAAACAAAAAATCATATTAAAAAAAAAAATAGACCAAGATAAGCTTATGTCATTTGTAATTGTGTAGAATGAAAAAGAAAAATAGCAAGACCGAAAGGGTCTTTCTATTTGTTTTGACACGAGCAGGTAGTTCGGGGTAGCGATTCTAGCCGAGTGGCGTTAGCGAGTTCCGTTTCGTCGATTTTCTATCATGGAAAGGAAATTTCTTATCTATGTTGTTACAGAGTACGGCTGCAGATACTTCACCAAAAAAAGTGTTGGTGAAGTCTGCAGATGCAAATGTTCTGGTATTACTTATTTACCACTATTCTGAATTTATTGAAGTAAGTTCTTTGAAAGATACCTACCTTTTTATGGAATTAGGACAAGGGAATAAAAAACGGATCATTCCAATAAATAGTGCAGAAACTGGAATATGAAGTTCATAAATGTTTACCAGCGCTGCATGTGTCAACAGGATGCGATACCACAAATGCAAAGGCAAAAATAGTATATTGTGTATTTAGGTGGAAAAGTAACACATTCTCGGCCGACGGTGTAAGTTGACGGGCGAGGCGTAGCCGTGACCGGCAAACACCGAAGGCCGAGAATGTGCTTTTCCACCGAAATACACATACTATTTTTTCTGCGATCGGTTAAATACCTGTTAAATGTTTGTCTTTAAGTTCCAATTATTCAGCAATACGAGAATCACTTTCCCGGCCTAGGCCGGAAACGTGTTTCCCGTATTGTTATTCATTGATTCCTTAGCAACTATTGAAACATAATTGAAATACCAGAATATTGAGTTTTGCGAACTGTCAACCGGTCAAAAATGCTGACATTTCTTGTCAATCCCAGAAAAATGTATTTTCTAAAAATCTTGGAACCTTATATTGCCACCAAATTTGCATTGGCCCTATTCAGAAATAAGAACGAGGCCCTAAAAACCCTCGATGTATTGAGATATCAATTGATCACAACTTCCAATAAATCCGCTTCTGAACTTCTACCCACAGATGATGCATTTTACCAGCATGTACTGAGCTAGGTGTACCTATATATAACAAAAGAAGCTGTATTTATGCGATAAACAAAATTTCAGGTGCATATATCAACTGCGTATATGGATATCCAGTCATATACCTATCATGCCTATACTTGACCCTGTTAACTTTGTTTGGACTAGGAATAATGGAATTTTTGAGCCTGTTTGGATGACTGCTGATCCCATATAAATTATGTCAAAAGAATAAATGGGTCTGCTTGAAAGAGGGTTTAACATGCTGCAGCGATTGTTCCTGCAAAAGTTGTCAAAATAATATTCCTGATTTATATGAGGATGACGAAGGAGAAAATATTTAAACTTTAAACTAACTTCATAAAAAAGGATTCAATCAATTACTTTATGTTTATAGATTTTTTTATTTTATTTCTAGATGTAACGCTAACGCACTAACGCAGATGATTTCTTGAATGGTAGCCGCTAGCCGCTTTCAGCATCAGAGCGCATTTCAAACCTCTCGGATAAAAATTCATATTTCTATAACCGGTAAAGTTAGCGACTTAATTTTTTTTTCAAAAACTTCGACAATGTTTTTACTACATTTGATTCGATATATATGTATAGAAATTTTCAATAATTCACATGGCTCGCCGCAGGGTGAAGTCTTAGATGCACGATTTTGATAATTCTATATTCCTAACTTTTTAACAAAAAAACCTTAAACCTTTTCGAAATTTCTGAACTGTCATTAGAAGCGCTCAGTTTTTCAAATTCGAGCTCAGTCACGTTTAAGGGCCGATTTCAAAGTTCAGTCCTACTAAAAAAAGTTGTACATTCCAGAGGAATTTTAATATTTACATTATTTACAATGCAAAATGCAATTTAAAATCAAATATTGAATTTCTATTAGAAATCTTGACTCTTTGGCGGCGTCTGTTCCTCGAGAGAATTAGTTTTGTTAAAAAAAAAAGTTCTTGTGTTCTTGTGTCATGCTCATCGCGTGCAGAGCTGTAATTCTCGTCGTGTCGTAATATTTTTTATCCTCGTCGTAGTTATCCTTTTACAATTTTACCTTCTGTGTCGGAACCAGACAAGTAGTATCTACTTATGATGGCGAGAGCCGAAAGCGCTCTACTACGCTAAGTTTCAGTAGTAAATTAAAATGTGCAAGAAATACAAATTGTTTCCTTCCATGTTCAACTGATTACTGATTTAAGGTAAATTTTAAAATCATCAAAATGTTTGCTTCTCCGAATCTCTGAGGACAGTACATGAAAATGAGCCATATAAAGCAAAAAAAAAAAACGTTAGATCACTGATGGCGTGACAAGTTAGATAATCTAAATTAAACTACTTGGTTAAATATAATCTATGTCTAAGTAGCGAGCCATAGTGACCCTATATCTAACCTAAACATGATATAACCTAGGTACTCACATGATATTAACTACAACTCCAATAGCAGAAGTAATCAACATTACAAATGCATCAATTTCATAACTTTCATAAATAATTCTTTGAATAGCCATATAAACTAATATTCCTGTCACGACCCATATCATAAGCACCGAAGTTAAGGCACCAATTACTTCGGCGCGGTACCATCCGAATGACATTTTCTTTGTTTTCGGTCTGTTTGCCATATACAGTGAAAATAAGGAAATCATAAAACTTGCAAAGTCTGTAAGGAGGTGAGCTGCGTCTGAAGCTATCGCTAAACTGTTCGAGATGTAACCACCTGAAATCAGGAAAATTTTAGGTATTCCTTTTACAATAATAATCTATTACGAACCGATTATTTCTGCTATCATAAATATTACACACAACACACTGGCTATGATAAGTTTTTTTCTGGCCCTTTTATCCACTTCTGGGGTATCTGATAAATGGCAATGCTTGTTAACTAGAAAAAAAAACCTGTGAAATAGTTATAGGAAGTGTATACGGGTTATGTGCACTGAAAAAACACCTCCCCTTACCTCAAGGTATTCAGTGATCTTAAAATAAAATATCTTATATGAAGAGTTAATAAACTGCATGAAGAAAAATTACTTTGTTCTGAGAATTTCGTGGTTCTTGATATTTTTCAAAATTACTCTGAATGGCATTTTTTTCAGGCGAAATTATATTCTCTTATACCAAGAAGAATCTTTTATTGCATATTTGTTAAGCTCCTTGTTATTTAGGCCAAGAATCTTGATTTTTGATGGAATATTCCAAAATCTTATTCAAAATTCAAGTTTCTGCGGATGCCCTCCAACCCAGTTGTATAGTGCCTAGCAGCTTAGTGTATCGTGCTGCCTGTGACCTGCTCTGACCTGCGTTTAGTTTTCAATTTGGAGGTTCCATAGTTTTTTTAAAACTTATATCACAAACAGTTATATCCTGTTTCCTATGTAGTTACCCAGGATAACAGTGAGTCAGGGGTCAAAATTATCTTGCAATCCTATTTGGAAAATAATCGTGACGGCCCTAATACAAGAATTTTTGGAGGCAAACAAGCTGTCCCACTAGTCCCACTTGTTGGAAAAGTTTGAAGGTATATAATGCAAATTTCACAAGTAGTATAGGTACCTTAATTATGTTTCCAATTTAGCAGTTTTAATAACCCATTTAAATTGTAATGACGTAATGATTTTTTAGTTATAGTTCTATATTTTGTAAAAATTGTTTGAATTCTTAGGCTAATAAATATTTTCAAAGATAAACAAAATCTGATGTTTCTTTATGACCAATAATCCTATCATCAAATACCTGGATTCCCAGGCGAAAAATTCTCATCTTCACTTAAGCCGTGATGACCTCTAGTGAAAAAATTGAGATCTTCAGTTAAGTATACTCTGGTCTTCAATGGAATCGAATAAATTTCTTGGGACAAGAAATAGGGAAAATTAAGTAATTTGGGACAAAGGAATTGTGTTGAATACATTGGGATAGTGTGTTGAGACGAGAAATTACTTCTTTCCAGTAAAGTATTCGAACAATCCTATGGCAAGACAATATTTAGATTTTTTGAAGAGAATATTCACTTGGCCATATCCAAAGTCGCAATTTCATTGAACAAAGTGCGTATTTCTTTGTATTGAGGAATCCTTTTTTTTAGTGTGTAGTTCTACTGTTCAAGACAATGGAGAGAACCTAGCATCGCTACTGCGAGGCGTAGAGAGGTAATCGATATAACCTTGGCTACAAACCGCTGCATCTGAGCACAGGTAAACAGAGTTCGAATTATGCAATGTCGATAAGGCAGTGGCGACTTATCATAATCCCAGCAACAAAAACTGACCTATAGAGGTCAGTTTTTGTCCTTATATAGATAAGGATCAGGAAGGAAAAGGGTCTGATCACTACAAGTCACCGGGGCCTGCCATGATGCAATCTAGCCGGCTCTTCTGCAGCAGGGACTAGACATACTGGCCCCACACACTCAAAACCCGGTCAGGAAACATACACGGAAGCGAAATCTTATCGACCCATCAGCCTTTCAAACTTCTCAAAAGATGTCATACCAAAATGGATATCAACGTAGAGTTCCCAAAAATGTAGTCAATGACTCAACAGAAACATAACGACAAGTTCCAGACAAAGGACCCCGCACTAAATACATTGAAAACCGGCATCGGTGAAATTGTGTGATATTGTAGTATGTTATTGTGCTATCTCTACTGACAATATTTGCACAAAAATTTAGGGTGGTCACCGGTCATATTTTTGAGTTAGGGCTGCCTAATGCTACGCTACTAGATAATATTTAAAAAAACATTTTATTACTTTACTTCAAATAAATTTTGGGAAAACATGAATAAAAGGTTGGAATTTGGGTTTTTTTGATTAAAAACACATACCTTTAGAAGATAGAACTATGTTTTGCAGTCTGCCTTTCCGCAAAGTAACTACAGGGTGGTCCAAATCATACACCAGAAAAAGTGTGCCAATACAAGCACGTTTGAGATTATTAAAACAATAAAAAGCTAGTACGCAGTAGAAATTCTGTGATCGAAGAATTTTAAAATAGATTCATTAGTCCAGTAGTATACAGATAAAATGTCTTATATAGCGCAACAATTACTATAGGTTTCACTCGACTAGATGATATCCTTTATATATGTATTAAAGGTCTGACAAGAAGTTTTTTTTTTCTTCGATTTTTGAATAGGTCCCTGCTGTCAATATAAGGAATAACTTTGGCCTCATCAGTTATAGGGTTATATATATCAAAAATCGAATGCTTAGAGATCGGCTATACTTCCCTACGGACATGCTTTTAAAGCCTGTCGCGATTGGTAATTAAATAGTTATTTTAAAAATTCATCTGATTCCCCTTGTTTCATTTTACAGATATATTGAATCTCTTTTGGTGACACATCCAACCCCACCCTCTTGTGGAACAAATTCGCAAAAGGGGTAATTGATTTAAACTCTTCGTCTGTCAGACTGTTTTTGTCCTCAACTCGCCATTGGCGGTTATTTGTTAAGCCCTTCAATGGCGTCAATCTCTGCAAAGTAAGGTTTAAAGCTGCATTAATTTTTCCGAAAAAAAAGGTAAATTCACATTCATTTATAACGTCTTTAAAAAAAAAACAATCAAATACTGCTCTGATTACAAAAACGTACGTCGCATTATTGTTTCTTTATTGGTCAGGATTTTTGAAATGACATTTTGACATTAGAGTTCATTGACAAAATTGAAGAAAAATATTGCTAAGACATACGTTCAAAAAACCATAGCATTCTTTTATTGTTTTTTTTTTGAAGACCTGATACTTATAAATGACGCGTTGTCAAGGCAACAGTAAAAAAACAAAAAAATCACAATGCATAAAAAAGACGCATATTTGACATTTGAAAAAATCAATCAATTGTTGTGAATTTACGTTGACTTTCTTCCATAAGCTTTTGCAGTTTTTAATTTAGAGTTTCTCTTAAAAGCAGTTTTTACGTTTGAGATTCCTTTAAACCCTTTTGCAGTTTCTACCTGTTTTTGCCTGGAAAATGAACGCGACACCAGCTTTCAACAGAAACAGACTTAACTGTTTTGTGTGCAACAGGCAACAGTTAGTTCAAAGAATGGTGAGGATAGGTGTTGGAGACAATGACCTGAAAAGGGAAATTGCTTTAAACCGTAGAGCAAATATGGGCTTGCCGGCTGCTCCAATAAATGAGGCGACACGGATATGCGTTAATTGCAACTTGTCAATTAATAACGAAGTTGAAGTGATTGAAAATGATCCTAGTAGTTTGAGACTAAATGTCATGGTATCCCATTTGAACGGTTGTACCATTTGCGACCGTCAACCTGCTGATCTTAAAAGACTATCAAATAAATGCCGGGCTTTTATTTTCGCTGCTCAAATTATTTACGCTTCCGAGAACATTCGTGTATGCCAGCACCATTTGAACGAAGATGGCATTATTTTACGGCAGCTTCTTCCTGGTCTGTCCTACATTAACAGGCCTGTTAAGATCAATGGAAGTCAATTGCAAATTCTTCTACAGGGATTAAGAGGCTTGACAAGTAATAGCTAATGGAGATTTGAGGACGAAAGCTGTCTGACGGACGAAGAATTTAAATCAGTAAGTCCGATATCAAAACAAGATTTTCTAGATTTGTATGGCTTTTGCGAACCTGTTCCACAAGAGAGTGGAGTAAGTCCGGTATTCATAGTGCCTACTTGAGTGCTGAGGATTCCTTGAAGGTGACCTTCGCAGTAAATTGTCTTGCAGAGTCAAAATTGTCAAGGCGTCCTTACGCCGCTCATGCGTATTTCGGCACATTTCCTTCCTTGACTTGAGGAATGTCCAGAGGTCCCTTGATACTGGTTTTCTAACCTATTGGTGACAGCACGTGAACCTAATTGGTGACAGTACGTGAACTGTATTTCATTGATGTGCAAAGTTTATTTTAAGTATTGTAATTAGTATGGATGAGCTGGAAAATTTATTTGCAGAGATAAATGTCGCTGATGATGATAACCGCGTGTGGCTAAATTCAGCTGGTATAGGCACCGTGGTGGAATGGTAGAAAAAGCAGTATTAAATTAAACAGGCATTAGCATGCATTAGTGAGTCGATAAATCACTGCATCCGTGGCATTGCAACATTTTGGTGAATTTAGCCACACGCGGATTGTGCTGCGGAGGCCAAGAAGGTACATTCAAGAATCGAGACATGCAGAATCCATTAGGATTCTAAATTAAAGAAGTAGTCCATGTCTCAAAGTGGAGTTGAAATTCCAAAAGAATACACAAAGTCTTCCTCCACAAAATACTTTGATCAAGTTAAAGCGCTCGACATGTTTCGAGGCAAGAAGCTCTCTTCATCAGAGGCAAGTTCGCTCACATATTACCAAAGAACAAAGTATTTTAGGTCGCTAGACTTCGCATTTGGTAGAGGAAAAAGAAACAGAAAGTTGAAACACAAAAAAATTAATAGATTAATTGTATATACACGGTGTAAAAAAAATAGTGTACCGGACTTCGAGGGGTAATACTACATATGAAAATAAGAAAAAAGTTACTATGAATATGCCCTAAGATGCTCCCTGAAGAAGTTACAGCCCTTCAAATGGTAGATGAAAATAATAGATTTTATTTATTTTCACGAATATTGCATCAGTGCCAAAATATTTTCCTGGAAATTTGGTATTCTCGCATACATTTCGATACCAAAGCGAATGGTGATAGTAAAAAAAATCGTAACAGTTCCGAAAGTGTAGTCTCAATAAGGGTAGAGGGTAGTTTACTCAGGGCCGGATTAAGGGGGGGGCTTTGGGGGCTAAAGCCCCGGGCCCCGAAATGAGGGGGGCCCCAAAACACCACCTCACGCGGGGAAGAAATCATGCATATAATTTACACCAAACAAAACCGTCGTTTTTAAAATTCGAAGCCCACACACTTCAGGTTT